AAAGTTTCAAAGTGAGACTCAGAAATGGTAAAAAGTAGAACAAATTACCAAAAAGAATGCAAAAAAGTTACATGAATCAACAATGTGTCAATCTAAGAATTACTGAGAACTCGAATATATTCTGTAGCAGCACCTCTGTTAAAATTTTGTTGGAGTTTTCAGGCTTAGAGTAATTTTGTTTTTTTTTATCTATAAATTATCTATAAATATAAAAAAAGGTATTTTCAAAAATAATGAGTATCTACCAATTAAATTCTGTAAGATTATTTGAAACTTAAAAAAAAAAAAAGAATAACTTTTGCTAGAGCACATGTGTAATTAGGAAAAATTAAGTGAAACACTATTTGCATTGTAAAATAATTGTAAAAAAGTGATATCATCCTTAAAATCACCCTTGTCATCCTTCTTCCGATATCTCTGGACTATGTGTCATTGTACAGAATAGAGTGTAAAGTACACATGTGTAAAGGGTTCAGAAGGTACTGGTGACAAATGAGACAGACACCAGTTTAATATACACAAAAAGTTGTCTTGTCTGAGGGGTACAGGAGGTCTGGATTATGGAGCTCCATCAACAGATAACATCCAGTCCTAGAATGATTCCTAATAGCAAAGTACAAACAGAGCAGAATAGTAATGAATGTATGTGCCTGGGTTTGGTTCATGAGCTGTTAACCAAAAAAAATTAACCCCATACATATTGCCTGAACCCCATTGAAATCTATGGGAGCCAAATATTGTAATTTTTGTTTTCTTTAACAAAGAATTTATTGAGTTTTTATCATAGCGACAAAAACAAAAACAATACAACGGTACAGGAAGGGCAATGCCCAAATTCATAGGTGTATACAATGTGTATACACCTGTATGGTGTCACCCCTCCAATGGTGTCACCCAGGTGCGGGCCGCACCCCCCTTGTGACGCCACTGAGTAAGCTAAGCTCTAGCAGAACACCCAGAAATCCTTCTTCATCATTGACTGACCCAGAATAAATCCCCTAAAACAGTATGATAAATGTTTTAGGCTCACGAGTCCATAACTTTGAGTTTATCAACATTATCAGGGTTATTCACAAAGGGGTGAAGAGTTTGGAGAAGTGAACAATCTAAGGCAACATCGCTGAACTAGAAAGTTGAGCTGAATTGGAGAATTTTTCCACATCAGTTATGTTGTCCTAGATCAGTCATGTCCAAAGTCCAGCCCGCGGGTCAATTGCGGCCCGTGTTCTGGTTTAATATGGCCCCACAGGTACAGTGGCGGAAATACCACCCCGGCACTGGGGCCTGAGGCTGTGGAGGGGCCCAGTGGGGTCCGGTCCTGGACACCCCCCCCTGATGGAATATGGGGCAGTGCAGGTGGGTTAGAACACCAGGGCCCCGCACTGCCGACGGGCTTTTCAGTAAGGGGGGCGGGTCCCGTGACTCACCTCCCCTCCTGGCCACGTCCCTAGGAACAGGCGGCGGGAGAGGAGATGCGTGTGTGTCACACGTCCCGCCCCCTGCAGTGCACACACCGACACCTTCTGGCTGCGATACTGTGATGCTCTGGCTGGGTGAGTCTGAGCGGCGGGGAGGGGGGATGGGCGAGGGTTGTGTGCTGTGATTTTCATTTAATTAGGAAAGTGGATTATAATGGGGAACATTACACTGTAATGTTCCCCATTATAATCTATTTATCTGATTAAATGATTACAAACAGGGCCTCTGTTCTATCAAAGCTTGAGACTACGTTAGAATGTGTGACCAGTGACGTGGTCACACGTTTTAACGTAATCCCGCCCAGTTTTTTTTTGGCGGTGGAATGTGTGACCGCCAATAGGTCAAGCATTCCAACGCTTTCTCAGCTGTTCCGGGGCAGATGGGCATCGCAGATCATATGTGCAGGAGAACAGATCTGCCCTGGAACAGCTGATCGGTCCTTAAATGTCACTTCTATCCGACTTTGTGAGTGCGGTGGAATGTGAGATCGCAGTCGGAGAGAAGTGACATTTAAGGACCGATCAGCTGTTCCAGGGCAGATCTGTTCTCCTGCACATATGATCTGCGATGCCCATCTGCCCTGGAACAGCTGAGAAAGCGTTGGAATTCTTGACCTATTGGCGGTCACACATTCCACCGCCAAAAAACTGGGGCGGATTACGTTAAAACGTGTCACCACGTCACCAGTCACACATTGTAACTTAGTAACAAACTTTGATAGAACACCGCCATCAGGGGGGTATGGCCGGTACCCATATGAGGGGTCTGGGGAGCCTGGAGGGCCTCTTACATGGGTGTCAGCTGTACCAGGGGCTACATGGCAGAGGTGACAGGGGAGGGGGCGGAGTTTGAAGAATGAAAGGCGGAGTGATTTAACACCTGTTTGGATTTGTCATCCATGTGACTAAATGAAAAGTACGCCGTTTGCAATAAACTTTGCATACAATAGTTCATTTGCATTTAATTTTAACGGTTCAAAGAATGTCAGGAAAAATGGTCGGCCATCACGCATGTTCACTTCATCAAATCTGGCGCTCTTTGAAAAAAGTTTGGACACCCCCTGTCCTAGATTGTTCACTTCTCCGGCCTTCTCCAAACTCCTCACCCTTTTGGTGAATAACCCCCTAAATATCAATTGCCACATAGCCACATGATATAAAGTCCATCCAGGTCAGTCAGAGACATTTTGTAGGGACTATTTTTCCCACGGCATTAAGTTGTGTCATCTGAAAACACTGAAATGGTCAATTTAAACCTAAAGTCTGTATAAATTTATGAGCAGGATACAGATTAATGGTCCAAAATCTGTGTAGCACCTTGCTAAAAAGGAGTGCTAGATTATATATATAGTCTATGTTCAGTTCAACTGTGACAGAACAATCTGTGAAGCTGTGTCTGCCTGTGGGTGGGTGTGTTACCACACAGGGCAGAACAGCCAATGAGGATTGCTTTGGGCATTTATGTCTCCCAGCCAATCACTGTAGTACAGTAGCAGTGATGCATGCGGGGAGAGGATATAAATGCTGACTGTGGCTGATGCAACAGTCTCTTCCTTCCCCTTCCCAGGCCCTCCTGGCCTGGGGGCTGGATGCTTGCTGCTGAAGAGACAGAATGGACTAGGCCAAAGCCTGGGGCCTAGGCCTGGACACTGGGGCCTGAGCCTGGAGGCCCAGTGGTCAGCCACTCATGTCTGACGTTGAGCCTGAACAAGACCCTTGACAGTACTGCTTGCCAGAAGTTCTCCACACAGATTGCCTGTATGGCTTAAAGGTCCAAGTCTGTGGTGGCAGCAGTTACTTTGCTCTGTTTCACATACAAGGAGTCTACCTTCATCCTGGATGTGCCTGACCCTCCCCCTCTCTCCCTGGAGTTACAGCAATAAAAGAGAATCATCTTGGAGCTATTGTCTGGACTTCAATCTGTCGGTGACCACTGGAAGTGGTAAGTGCTATTGGGGCAGCCATGTGTTTTTAATAATCCCTAGACAGGCTATGGAAGACCCAATCATTTCAGCTGCTCCTTCGGGGGTGAGCGCTACATCTGAATCTGGGGATTCAATGCTCATAGGCTGCAATCATCAAGAGTGTGAATAATCAAACATGAAAGTTTTATATCAGTAAGCAATGCAGAGAGAGAGAGAGAAGAGAGAAACAACTGCTACCAGCTGGAATTAACACCATGGAGAAAAAGCTCTTTACAATCTATATAACTATCTTCCGTATTCCACCCTTTGGCACTTGCCGGAGCTCCTTGTTCAGCGGAAATGTATTCATTCAAGAACCCACCTTTCTGTTTCAATATTTTTTTATTAATGTTCAACACAAAGTAAACACAGGTAACGGGTTCACAGTGCTCCAAAACAGTAGTTAGTCAAAGAACAATACAAACATAATGAATGCAATATCATAGCCTATGGTGTATAATTTTAGGAGCAAGTGGGTGTCTGGCCCGTAACCATGTAGTAAGTTTTACCGTTTTGTGCAGCAACAAAGGTAACAGGTTTACACCTCCTAGGGGAGAACACAGAGAAGGAAAGTAAGACCGAGAAAGTAGGGGGGAGGAGGTAGCGGGGGGGAGACCCCCACAGAGGGAAAAAGAAGAAGAAAGAGGCAATTTAGGAACAGGAGAAGGGTAACAGTGTCCCTCATACTAATAGTGGTGGTGGGTCCCACATCGGACTATCATTAATTGCTTTCAGCAGCAACAGAGGCTGCCCAACCCCTTTACTAACACCGGAACCATCCGAAAGTTCAAAACACGTCAGATTCCCCGGTAGGTCGTTGGGTCCATGATAGGGTGGCGATACATGAGCCAAGGTTTCCAGATACCCAGAAATGTACTATGTTTGCCGTCTAAAATACTGGAAAGGCGTCCATTAAGCGTGACATAATCCAGCCTATAGACAAATTCCACATAAGAGATTTGTTGTTTCTTCCAGTTGCCCGCCAAACTTAACCTAGCTGCTGGAAAAATAAAGTGTGATAAGGCTCGCTGTGGTTTAGTTATTCCGGGTACAGACAAATGGAAGAGGGCATATTGAAGGTTTCTGGGAACATGTATGTTAAAAAGGGAATCAGTTTGAATATTTTAATCCAAACGCGAGTGGCCAATGGGCATCGCCTAGAACCCACTTTTGTTTGGGTGCAGTGGCCAAACTCAGTGTCACACTACAATGGAGCAATGGTGGCAGCAAATATCTGTATTTTGTAACAAATGGAAAAGAATGTAGATACTGTATTGATTTTCAGCCAGTTGCCACACAATTTTCCTCTTCTGAAAAACAATCTGACCCCTTTAAAAAAAAAAAAAACCTTCTTCGTCTGTAAGCACCAGATCTGATGGAAGTCTGTTTTATATCTTCACAACTCTGATGGAAAACACTTCCTTTTGCCAGAGATTGAACCTTTTTTCTAAAGGGGTTTGCTAGTGTCTTCTAAATGAGCTTGAAGTAATTATGTTTCCACAGAATTGGGTCATGTCAGAGTTATTTCTACAACCCTCTAGTAGCAAGGAATGAAGATTCAGTGATGCCGTATTGAATTGGGCACAACCTCCCTTAAAACATCTCCGAATGTTGTTCTGAAATCCTGGTTCCTCATGGTGTAAATTGGGGGATTGAGCAGAGGAAGAATCACAGAGTAGAAGACAGACAACACTTTGTCACCAGTGAAATGACTACCGCTTGGTTGAAAGTAATTAAACATAGCAGAGCAATAAAATATGAAGACCACTGTCAGGTGAGAAGTACACGTAGATAAAACTTTACTTCTTTTGCCCTTAACTTGCATTGTAAAGACAGTTTTGAGTATAAAGACATAGGGAAGGAAGGTCAGTATCAGAGTCCAACCTCCGAGGAAGCCACCCAGAAGTAGTATAAGCATTGTGTTGATGTAGATGTCACTGCAGGAGATTTGAAGCAACTGGGGAAGATCACAGAAGAAGCTTTCTATAATATCTGAGCCACAAAATGTTAATTTCAGCAAAAAAAGTGTGTGAGTTATAGAATAGGTAAAACCGAGACACAATGCACAGAAAACCAACTTTACACAAGCTTTCCAACTCATGACCTGTATGTAATGCAATGGCTGACAGATAGCAATAAATCGATCATAGGACATGGCAGCCAACAGAAACATCTCAGAGATTGTAAAGAATATAAAAAAGAAGACTTGGGTTATACAAAGTGTTATAGTAATCTTTCTTCTCTGGGTGAGAAGGTCAAATAACATTCGTGGGACGGTGACTGAGGAACAGAAGAAGTCCAAACCCGCCAGGTTCCCAAGGAAGAAATACATAGGAGTGTGGAGGTGAGAGTCACTGACTATGAGGGAGATGATCAGCAAATTCCATGTTACTGTCAGAAGGTAGATGAGAAGGAAGAAGAGGAAGAGAGGGAGCTGAAGAGCCGGAATATCGGACAGTCCAGAGAGGAATAATTCATTAAAACTTGTCTGATTCACCATCACAATATTTGTATCCACTTCTGTTTATGGTAAATAGACTCTTAAAAAGGGGAATAAATATTACAATATGCAGTCTGCTTTTGTTTTTGAATTAATTTTAAAATATTCACAGTGGAAAAAAAATGTAAACATTTATATTTTACATCCAATGTCTCAGATGTAGAGTTAAATATATTTAAATTAATTTATATTCTTCATTATTGCAGAAGGAATTGATTGGTTATTGTATGCAGTAGGGATGCGCCGATACTTTTCGAGTACCAGTGCCGATACTTGGCATTTTCATGAGAACTACCGGGGTTGCAGCGGTTGCAGCTGGGACCGGACTCTGGCGCTCCACCCCTGTCCTAAAATCATTAGTCTGTATTGTTTTGGAAAACACTAAACATAAATGTATCAGTACCTGTATCTGTGAGTACTTGGGCAAGTATGAGTACTCGTACGCGCAAAACTGGTATCGGTGCATCACTTTACTTAAATTTTTAAAAACAAAATGATACATTATAACAGAGATGTACAAATCCCGGGAATTCCGTGTGTTCCTTACAAATGACAGCCGCCTCCTAACTTCTGAATGTTTCTCCAGTCTAGTCTTCAAGCTTGAAAAATATCGGTACTTGTACTTGTACCGAGTATGGCACTTGGTATCGGTGCATCCCTAGTATGCAGTATAACAAACATAACTTTCTAAAATGTTTTAACTATATTGCTTTGAAGAAAAATGTGTGTTCTAGTTTTAAGTGCTCAGCCTGCGGATATGGACCACAAACAGTATGGGGTTGATTTACTAACCTTATAAACACACCACGAACATGTATACACCTCTGTAGTGTGTTCCCTCCCAGCATGATCTATGGGTGGAATATAGACACCTTTGTAGTGTGTACACACCCAGCAGGTGTGTTGTGCATGAATTACAAGGTGATGTTGTGTAAATTAGCTCTATGTTGTGTTGCTTGCGTTGATGAATGCAGGAATGTAAATGCATGAGCTAACCATTTTTGTCTAAACTGTGAAGCAGCATTATATATGCATCATGTGCATGATTTTCCATATATGGCATTAGTGGAAACATGCTTATAGAGACTTTTTGGTTGATAAATACGCTTTGCTGTGTAAAAATCACACGCACCTGGTGCATGCGTGTGTTTAGGTTAGTAAATCACCCCCTATATCTCAAAAATTACAAAGTATAAAAACAAAAAATCACACACAAAAAAGTACATATCTACAATAGTCTCAAAATCTGTATTTAAAACAATATTAACAAGTTACATTAGATAATTACATCTTTAAAAATATATTTAATATAATGTGATAATTTCCCAGTCATAAAATATGGGTTAGATTAATGGTGATTTTGTTTTTTAATTAATTTAGGTAATTTTCAGAGAGTATTTGGGTACGTCATTTAGTTAT